AAAAAAATATATTTAAAAAATAGATATATATATATATATATATATATATATATATATATGTTAATCTTAAAAGTTGTTGAACTTTACAATTTTTAATAAGACAATAACCATTAAACAATAAATCACATCTCTTAAAAATTAAAATAAATAGTAATTCTTATAAAAATGAATCTCACACAAAAAATAAAATAAAAAATATAAGTTTTGCAATACTTACAAATAAGTTGTTTTTTTTATAAAAAAAGTTATAATAAAAATATTAAATAAATGATTAGTTAATAGTAGAAGTCGGCTCATTCATTCTCTTTGTTTATGTCAAAGTCCTAACGATTAAGTGTTCGAGTTGTGATAAAGAAGCCAGTGTCAAAGCTATGTCAGAAAGGTCCAATCAATAAAAAAATTAATTGTGGTATGGTCGAAAAGTTGGAGGTGTGTATCTAAGATATGAGCATTCCTATATATTCTGAACCAAATTTCGAATCAGCGTCCGAATAAATTAATATTTTTAAATAAATTTATTATAAAATAATTGTTTAATTTAATATTTTATTATTAAATTAATTTTTTATTTATTCGGATCAAATTTCGGAACAAGCTTTCGGAAGATGAAACATTTTTCCTATGATATATCTGACATATGTTGTGTCTGAAATGTGTCAGATATGCTGACACAGCGTTACATAGAGGTGTCCTTGTTTCATAGGCTTAGATTGTCCCCCAACCGAAAGAAGAAAAAATATATGAGATATAACATTAGGGATAAATTTACCTGCATTAATTGTAGGTATTGGTGATAAGGATCGGTGAAGTTTGGGATACGTGATTGATCTGGATCTAGTGTACCATGTGAGTTAAGCATAGTATTGTCTGAGTGATTTGCTGCTTGCACTCTGGATGAATCGGGTGCGGCAACATGAGGCATATGGAAAGGAGGCATGGGGAACCTTGGTCCCAAATGAGCAGCTGCAGTTGCCGCTGGCAAAGTCGAACTAGCTAACATATTTGGAAATGTCATTACAGGTCTGTTCATTCCCATTCCCATTTCCATGCCCATCCCCATGCCAATGCCCATTCCCATTGGCGGCATATACTGCTGGATTCCAGGAAACATCATAGGCACCATGCCACATCCCATGGACATCATCTGCATAAATAAATTGCATTCTCTTCTCGTTACATATCGATCATAGTATATTACCAAGGAGTGTAAATAATATATACACAATACACATGATAGTATATGACCAATATACATAATATGGATGATAAATAGAGTCACAATTTTAGAGCAAGCGTACACTTCACTAAACAATACTAAAATCTTTCATTTAAATCACATTGTGCCAAATACAATCTCTTTGGCTCTGTCACCCTGTCTCTTTCACTTAAAGCATGTGGAGTTTCCACTAACGAAACCTTTCAATAAGAATGTATATGTAACAGCTTACTACTATGTTTTGCCATCCTTATTTTTCTCGCCTTTCCTCCTTAAACATTTTAGAAGCTCGAAGACATTTTATAAATTATTAATGCTGGTAAATTAACCATAATCAAGTAGATTCATTGTTTAATGTTCCACCGTTGGAAGATGAATAATTTATTGGTGTGAAGTATCTACTGGCCCGATAATTAATCTCCATCAGTTAACTTAACTGACCTATAAAAGGTTTACCTGCACTTGTAATTGCAGTGACTTCAAGTACTCAATTGCTTCATCCAGCATCGAAGCTTTGTCAGACTGTATAATTCAGAAAAGGAATCAAAATTAGAGAGAGCTACGAGGAAGGAAGTAAAATCCAGAATACTCTCGAGCTTGAAAGGGAAAATAGGTACTGAGAAATTTAATAATTCTGTTGACCTTGTTGCACCGAGGTATAAGTTCTTGCAAAGCTTTCATCTTTTCATTAATTCTATCTCGTCGCCTCTGCATGCAAATGCAATATGAAACTTGTTGAAAATGAGAAAACAGCATAAAATTTATAGACTCATCAAAGTTATAATGTAAATACAGACCCTCTCTGAGAGATTATGGACCTCAGCAGCACGAGATCTCTTTGTAGATGTAGAACCACGGACTTGTTTTTTAGCTTCCGGAGATTCAAAATCGACATCCTTTTGCAGTGAGACCAACGGAGATAAGAATATAGAAGCAGCATATAACATAAACTTATGCAGATTGCAAAATCCAAAAAAGAGACAACAAATATGTCATTGTCTATTCAACTATTGATCAGTCCCATCTGTTCCAACGTATATGTCTGGTAGTCTGTTTCCATGGGAAGCCATCAACTATAATCTTTTGTACAACTACAAAGTCCCATCCCCTTGTGTTTGGTAAATAGAAAAGTACGACAACTTAAATCCAAGATATCTACCTATTTCCCTGGCCCATCAAACTTCACAACTAAGTCCAAGTCATTCTTTTAATCATTTTGTGGGCACTTTACCATGGAATATATTTTGGCAAATCCTAATTATTATGAGCATCGTGTGCAAGATGAACATAATTCTTGCTTAATAAGATCAATTGAAATAAAAATGAGTTAAATATGCTTTTACTTGATTCTTCAACATGAGATAAATTTTATCCTTTAAATTTTAAAATTAATTTTTTCAATTTCCGTAATTTGAAAAAAAGTTTATTTTGGTCACTACCTAAATTTCATCAATAAATTTTTCACACAAGACTCATGTTACAACACAATAAAAATAGAGTTAATCACCTATACACTGTCAGTATAAGTTTTTTTACATTGACAACCAATCATATCTTTTAATAGTGTCATTTTAGTTACTTATTTAATAAAATAAAATAATTTAAAAGATATGATTGATTGTCAATGTAAAAAACTTTACATTGACAATGTATGGATGATTAACTCATAAAAGTATCATATTAAACTTGTTTAATGTTATCTATCAACATCTGTAATATTACATGTATAATTTTGAGAGACTAAAACATACATTTTTGAATTTACAACACTAAAATAATTAACTTTAAATTTGGGGAGTTAAAAAGAATATATTTAAATTTTGAGAGATTAAAAACATATTTAATTCTAAAAATATTTATGACTTTTCAAAAGGATCTGACATGTAAGTAATGAATGAGGAACCAGTAATCATCCTACCACCAAATATATGAAAAAGTTCGTCTAATTAACACCCAATATACGTACGTAAGAGTAGCAGCTAGTAATAGCATCTTAATTACATTTAGAGATTATATAAACTAATATATTAACCCATGACAAACTCGAACAGACAACAGACAATAATAACTGGGTGGCTGTATGAACATTGCCATAGCTTGGTGATGTCTACCCATTTGAACTAATTGATAAAGGTTTTCATTCTAGAGAGCAGAAAATGCACACTTTTCACATGTGCTAGGTCATTTACCAAACTTCCCTGCGTAACTGTTATGCAAAGACAGATTTAGACACAACTCACGTTCAGTCAGAAACGCAGAATCGTTGTATTCTCACACCCATACCTCACCTTTATGGCATTCCTAGGCTAAACCAACTGAATCCTAATAGAAAATTCATTTTGGGTCAGTTCACAAAATACCAAAACTAAAGGCCACAGGGTAAAATTGCAAACATATGCACATGAGCCACTTCGTCCATGAAATCCACACCATGCTACTCGGTTACCAAGTTTTGAATTAATCTAACACTGTACACGTGGCATCAAGGCATGCAACCGCGTCGCGTTTAATGGTTTCGATATAGAGAAACGACAACCAAGACATGTCCACACCGAAAGTTGCATGATTAACGATTAGATAGACGTTGAATTGAATGCAGAGAGGAGGGTGCTCACGTAAACCTACGTCACTCCCCCGGCGCACGATAGCCAACACCAACGCATATGGAACGTGTCTGTCACACACAGCCACAGCGTAAACAAAAAAATAAAAAACAAAAAACGAGTCGACTCACTCACCTCGCTCTGAAACTCCGATTCCTCCGCTTCCCTTCCCTTCCTCTTGCGGTCCACCGCCGCTTCTCTCTGATCCGGTTCGGCGCTCCCGCTCGAACCGCCGGGCGACGACGTCACCGTCATGTCGCACGTCGCCGTCTCCCTTCCTCCGCCAGGCGCCGCCGGTTTACCGCCGCTCGCTCGGGCGGTTTCCACGCGGTCCGCCGTGGCAACCGGCGTGTCGCACGAATCCACCACCGTGGGCTGCGCCGCCGCGACCTTCGAACTGAGCGACGCATTGGCGTGCTTGGAGAAGTGCACGAAATTGTGCATCCTGCTCGGCGGCGGAATCGGAGGCCGAGGAGGCGGATGGCGGAGGTGGTCGGCGCGAACGGAGCATTGCAGGGCGGCGTTTGGCGGCGGGTAGAAGATGTCGGCGGAAAAATTGTGGTGATCTAAGGGAGGAGGATCTTGGTGGATTGGATAGTGGAGCCACGAAGCCATTTCGTCTTCTTGCATGAACAGGTGTTGGTTATTAGCGTAGTTTTGTGGCTCGGAGGATCGAATCTCCCTCGGCGGTTTTCTGATGGGTCGTTGGTTTTGGCTTTGCATGACGACCTGGCCGTTTTGCCACAAGAGTTCCATGATGTCGTCGTTTTGCCTGTTTTAATTGTCGTTTTGAGTTTCGTTTCTGAATACACACAAAAATACAAGGTACTTTTTAACCAAGAGTGAAGAGAAGAGATAAGAGAGTTACGTAGAAGCTTTCTTTGAGACAGGAATTGGGTTTTCTTCCTCTTCCTCCATTTGGATTTCGAAATCTGGAACACAGTCGTTCATTCTGCCTCTGTTCAGCTCAAACATTATTAAAATTAATTAATTAATTTAAAATTTAAAAATAGAGAAGAGGTAATAGCAAGTGAAGAAGCAGAAGAGGAGAACTTACTATTGCAGCATAATAAATGAAGATTTGTTTTTTTAGAACTTAATTTTTGTAGGGAAGAGTATGGAGGTGGAAGAAGAAAGATAAGGCCTCTCTAGTCTCTACGAATAATGGGAACTAGCTAAACGACGAAACCCATTTTCCACCATTTCCATTCATTCACCCTTTTTTCTTTTAATCAACTAATTAGTGATTTTATATTTTTTTAGTACTTGCAAAATAAATTTCCTTCATATATCTTCAAACATATAGTTCTCGCGGTCCGGGTAATGATTAATCAAGTCTTATTTTTTTATCGATCCGACCAAATAATCCATAGTAATAATCAAATATATAAACCCTTGGTAATCATAAGCACTGTTGAACTTAATTACTAGTTTATATGAGAATTGATAATTCTGGAGTGGGTCTTGTGGGGACACGACTTTCTTATATATGTTTGGTCCCACTAATTTATGTATTTCTTAAACAGCAATGGTTTCTTGGTAATATGATATAGTATATGTCTGAAAGTGGTCTAATTCCCGGGTTTGGCTTTTCACTTATTGAGGTAATATCGAGATTAGTGACAGACATAAACATAAGTGAAAAGTATTGTTTTTTATTTAGGTGTACATAATGGGGCGTGGAGGAATATTTTCAAGCGGTTTCAGATTAGTGGCAAACATGAATGGAAAACTTCACCCTTACGATGCGTTTACCCTATTTCATCAAAATAAATTATACAAGGATCTCCACCAACCAATTTCTCTGCCTATCTTGTCTTTCATTATTTCATCAATTATTTATTCTTTTTTTTTTTTCTTCCAGAAATCATGATAACATCCTTTTTAATTAATTTCAACATTTGTGTGTTTAAGCTGTAAGAAATTTGTTTTTTTTTTCAAATAATATTTCAATTTTAAATCTTATGAAGGAAAAAATAGACTCAACAATACTTTTTGGGAATGGTTAGTACACCAAACCTTTTTACTTTCATGAAAACCTTAAATTGTCACATTTTGATTTTGATATTTTATAAGGGTTATATTATGAGTTCTGCTTCAAAAGTAAAAATTAATACTTGTCAATTCAATTATTATTTAATATTATATATGTACCAGAATAGCTAATTGTAACAGAAAAAAAAAGTATACAGGCACATTAAAATTAATTTTAGTAATTACAAACACAAAATCACTTATGATTTAGTGTATCCGAAAAATATTTTCTAAAACACGTTTTTATTAAATGTATCCGAATGGAAGTAATATTACTTCAAAATTAGTTTTAATCATTATTAGTTCTATAAAAAAAAAATTACATCATTCTATAAAATTATGTTGATCACCAATTATATCATGCATTTCCTCGCAGTGTGGATCCAAATCTAACGAAATCACAAAATCAATTAATTTAGACAATTTTAGAATTCATTCAATCTGAAAAAAAGAAAAAAAATATATGTATAAATGGAAGATTAACACTACAATTCACAATGAATTGATGATTTAAGAAAGATTCATCCTTAATATAGTATAAATGTTTAAGATAGAAATCAAAATACCTTCAAGAATATAAAGAAAAAAAATTTCACACAATTTTATATTTTACACAAATGAGTCAAAACTAGATACAAAATCAATAAATATTTATTTGTATGTTGGACTTAAGTGTACCAATTAAGGCCCAACTTTGAACAAGTCTAAATTGACTCAAAGTCAACAATTATCTAAAAATGTCTCTACCTTAATATATTATGTTGGGAGTTAAATTATTGGCCTAATTTGAGTCCAACAAAACTAAAAAATTACAATTAAAAGTCCTATTTTAAAAAATTAGCTCCCTCAAAAAGGGTGATGCTTCCTTTTAAGCTTTTTTTTCATCCTTTTCTAGTATATCTCCAAAAAGGATTGAGTTAGAAGGAAACTTTTTGACTTGGTCATGCTGAACATGATTTTAGGGGTGACAAGCGTGAGTTCTCTAACTTGGTGATGTTAAACCCTAGTTTGAGTAGTATCAAGCGTGATTAAGGTAGTAGCTCTCTGTCTAGACGACATTAACGCAGGCTGAATGGCGACTAATGTGAGTCGACAAATTAATCCCATATAAGCTTAGTTATGCATGCCAAGGTAATGATAAACTCACACTCAAGTTGTTTTATCGCTAATAGGAATACTAGACTTCCTTAGTTAAATTGATAAAATCCGAGAAATCATGTTGTGCTGTTGATTGTTATCAAATTTGTTGTTGATCTAATAAGTCCAAAAAGATAATATTGTTAAGTTGGTTCGGTAGAATTAAGCTACTTAGACTATTCATCTATGTTGTAAAATATCTTTTAATTTAAATGCATGACTATGTTGTGGTTGATAAGTTGTGTTGTGCATATGCTAAGCTAATATGTTATATAGTTGTGTTTTAAGCTGAAGCATTGTCATGTTATTAAGTTGTAAAACATGTCGCCATGTTGATCTATGTTGTTAAGTTGAGCTATGGGCTGTTATGAAATGTTGAGATGTTGTTGTATAGTTAGTTTATTACTTCTATGCTATGTTGTTTCTTTTGAATTTAAGTTTACCCTTACATTTTTTAATTGTTGGACTACGATGATTATACTTGTTATAGAAGCATGACATGAATAAGTTGGAGGATGAACACATTTTTTAGGGTTATACTAAAAGATAACAATTTCTATTTTGGACTACTTTAATAGTAGCTAGTGATATATATATATATATATATATATATATATATATATGTGTGTGTGTGTGTGTGTAAAATCTTTAATTTCAATTATGTTATATTTTTGTCTTTTTCTATTCATAAAACATTGGTTTAAAACTTTTCTTAAAAAGATTGAGTCTAGAGGTGAAGGAAGACTTGAAGAGGCAAAGGTGCTTTAGTGAGGAAGAAAAAGGATAAAACAAGAGTATAGAAAAAGAGTAAGTTGGAAGGGAGGAGATCCTATGGGTGCAAAAGGGAAAGGGTGTGTGAAGGGAATAATAAAGTAGAAAATTTTAATCAACCACTAGGGTCAATCTAATATAGTAGAAGGTCAAAGTAATATACATAAAGTTCTAAATTTGAATTTTGTTATAATTATTGTAATTCTTATAAATAAAAAATATTTTTTTAAAGTGTAAAGAGAAAAATAAGTGAAAAAATCAAGGCCCATATTTTAATTTAAATTAACCAAATTTAATAGATAAATTTTTTTTTTACACCACATATATAAAATAATTGTTAAAGAGTAAATTCACTGACTTTTATAGTTTGGTTTTTTAATTCAGTTGTTTTATAGTTAAAAATTAATTCCTTTCAAAATGTACATATATCTAAAGTGAGTTTTCTCTCGCTAAATAATTTTTTATTATATGTGTATAATCTAAAAATCAAATCTCCATCCAACTATTAAACTTATAGAGTTGGTATAATAACAAAGAGCCAAAATAATATAATGATTCTAGTATTTTGCCCTTTTGTTTTTTCAGCAACTATTAAACTTTTGTTTTTGGGATAATATAATCTATTTAATTATTTTAAAAAAAAAACTCAACTATTGGTAACTGACATATTATATTTAAGTAAGAAAAATAGTGTGATAAGAGAAGTGTAACGAAAGCTTGCGTATAATTAAAATTAAAGTAACGAATTTGCATAAGTTTTAATCATGGAATGTGGTTCTTGATGAGTAAATTAAGTAAGTACCCTGGTTAAAGCTAGAAAAAAAAACCTATCTAGTAATTATAGTTATTTATCCTAAGAAATGATTCAACGCTAAAACCACTTCCACTTTGAGTATTTCACATATTGATGGTCTAATAAAGTATAATTGACCTAAATAATTAAGTGGATAACCTTATTTCATTCCGACACTCATTTAGATTCACTAATCACTATTAAGGTAGTTTCATAAAAGGCCTAAATAATATCAATTAGCAACAGTTCACATTACGAAATATTCTGGCGTTTTCTTAATTGGACATTATACTAACCGAAAAATTCAATTGAAATATTTTATTTTGAAACGTGGATACGTCACACGATTTAAAAAAGGGATAATTATGCAAACCTCTCTTATGCATGTTTTGCTTCTCATTTTAAAAGATACACACTGTATGATTGAGGGTTCATTTATGCATGAAAATAGAATTTTAAATGTTGAGATTTTATAAGATAGAGCAAAATCACTATGTTGGCAATGGCAAAACAATTATTACACATCTTTAAATGTTCATTACTTTTACATTCAGAGTAAGGTTGACAATCATACAAGTTGGTAGAAAAAAAAAATAAACGAGATAGGCAGTAATAATAAAATAAAAGTTACATAAATAGAAGATATAAATGTGTAAGTTGTGTATGTATCTTATCATTGGTATTGGTGGACCGGTAATTTAATTTGAAAATTAAAAAGACATGGTGCATATTTTATGATATGAAGGTTGAAAAGATTGGAAAAGAAATGTTGTGAGTTTCAAGTGAATGGACAATATTTGTGATGCAAATTATTATAATTATGCAATGATGAGTGCCTTTCCGACATTACCTAACATTAGGGGCTTTCCATCTTACATGTGTAACTAAGTCGACCAATCTCAACATTTGACTCTTCCAACGCAAGGTATCATGTTATGAAGGGTAGTTTTCTGTTCTGTGCATGAAAACTCTATTTATTATGCACAAACCAATTAGTGTGTCTTGCTATGATTAATTAGTGCTAACCACAATTATGAAGAAAGGGAGATGGTCGTCCACATAGGGAAATCCAACTAATTCCAATCAATTCGGAGGCGGTAGGCTGTTCTCTCAGCTATAGTCACACATTAATTTCACTTGTTTCGATTAATCTAATTTTTCATATAAAATACTATTTTACTAGTCTTCCTTTTTCTAAATTAAAAACCATTGTGTAACAATATGAAATTTTATTAATATTTATTAATTTAATTAATTATGTATTTAATTGTTTTATTATTATAAAACTTTAAAGATTAAGAAATTTGTAACAATTTAATTGATTAGGAGTTGTTTTAAGTTGAAGTTAAAGTTAACATAATTTAGTGAAAGATATATATTAATGTTTTCTTAAGACTTGAATTTGATAAATTTATTTTCTTAAAAAAATTGGGGAGAAGTTAGAGAGAGAAGATATGGCATTAGAAAGATTTTCTTCTTCTTTTG